AATTCTTAAACAAATATCGGAGCATTTAAAGGTAGATTGTAAAGTGGTGGTAAGCGGTATGAACAAAGTGACACATATTTTCTCCCATTAGCTTGTAAACAATTATCATGGGTAAGCTATAGGAGTATCTATCCAATTTTATGGGTTAATTTACAAAAATTGAAATAGCTTTTGAACTGCAATTTTAATGGAATTGGGTATTTTACAACATTGTTTAGAGTTAAAAGGGTCATAATATACTGAACTGTAATCAAGATCGTTCGATTAGTTATTGTGAAAATCCAATTCTTCCATTGTTTTGTGGGGTTTTATGAGGAAGACCCCTTTAAAAATCAAAATTTCAAAAATTGAAATACACCTTGAGATACCATGGATTAGTACCTACATACAAAATTCCATCAAAATCAGGCCACAGGTGTAGTCTGTAGCTCTGTACACGTCGACACACGTATCAGTGACACACATATCACTTCGCAAAAAAGTTTCGGTGTGACCCAAAACGGATATTCCCACTCAAAACTCAAACTCGAAAATTTTGACGGAAACAATTCTTCCTACATATACTATGCATTGGGGAAAAAGTAAAAACAGATCTGTAATATTATTCCGTAAATCAATCTCCTACATGCATATATAACATAACAAAATGTCTCTTTACCTAAACTTTGTCAACACGTACCTCGAACCTGCGTTTAAAATGTATGACGCAAAGCAAGGAAAATAAACAAACCAATAAGGTAAAAATTAATGTATTAATAAATTTTATTTGGAGGATCGGGGTGCGAACCCACGGCATCGCAGTCGTCATCTCACAGTCCGTCGCCCTACCAAATCACCAATATGATAATAATCAACCGGTGTACATTTTATTTACCGCAATAGTTTGTCTTTTATATCATGATAGAAAAAATATTTAAATAATAAAACTAGTATGAGGCAAATTATTTTTAGCAAATTTTCCATTTAAGGAATAAGCCATTACCATAGGTCACATGGTAAGACATAGACCCAGGACATATTTAGTTTTTTAGTTTTGAGTCTCCGGAGGCCAAAAACACCATCAGTATGAATTCACATATAATATGTATAGTTTGCAGGATGATTAGAAAAAAAATCATCCGATTCTGATGAAATTCAGTACAAACGTGTAAACACACATTTAATTTATTCCAACGAGTTTGCGAACCAGCATGATTTAACTAAAGGAACTGGGTTTTATGAGTTAAAGATTGGCTTTTCCTATTTTCGACCCCGAGACACAACATTTTTCATTTCTTTTTACACTTATTTTTAGAGTTTAAAAGCCAAATAATTTAGTATATTGAAGCGTTGGTGTACGCCTAATATTTACGGATAAAAATTTAAAAAAAAACTTTAAATTTAAAACTTGTACGCTATTTTTATGGAAAATAAAAAAACTATTGTAGTTTGCTGGTTTAGGGGATCAAATTTGGTAAAGTTTTTTGTTTCATAGTAAGCTACTAAGATGTCAATAGAAACACTTTATTACTTTCCCTGTAGCAGCAAACATTAATATTCATTAAAAATAATGTTATTTTAATATAAAATAAATATGATAAGGGAATATTTTAGTGACTATCCAACCAGGTAAATTAAAATTCGCCTATTCTGCAGGTTTACTGCGGCGGGGGTATTTTAGTATAACGCATACAGTAGTAAGATAATTGTCCTACCATTTAAAGATATATGCATTACGTTAGTTAACTCTTTGGTGAACTATTGGCAATAGGTAAACTTTAAGGCTTTTCTAAACAAATAATGACTTTTCATATTGTTTACAATACAAGGTAAATTTGATATTAGACACAGATTCTATTGTTGGAGCACAAGTGTTTTTCTCTACATTTTAAAGTATACGTGGCAATTTTTTTGTTTGATGGAAAACGAGTAATTTTACTGTCAACATGGATAAGGCAATTCTATCAATTGCTTGTTTCACTAATTAATCATAACAATGGAACTACTGAAAAGAAGACAAATTCAGGCATGATCTTTGGAAAAGGAAAACTACCCTGTGGGCTGAAGCGAGTTCCAAAGCTCAATGCAAATACATCCTAAACATCAATCCTGAATATCATAACAATGTACCATGGTTTCGTTAAAAAAGCCCGCAAACTTTATTACACAAATAAACCTTTTTAAAATAAATTGGAAGCTCTGCAAAATGAGTTAAAATTAATTAACAAGAAGCAAAACTAGAAGTGAATCCTTTCCTTAGAATAGTCTATAATCCCAATCAAAAGTTTCACAATCAACTAAGAGGATTTAGGTAAGATATGGTTAATTGAGTTTTAAGCTTCATCAATCTTGAAATGGGTTTTTAATACGCTGTGATTTTTTGCGTATTAAGGATAGGTTGATTTATGTTTTCTCGGCAAAGTACATAAATAAATTTATAAGTTTTTTTTATATTTAAGAGACAAGCTGCTTTTAAAATCTGTAGGCCCCTATGTGGTGATATTAATATGATGTGATTTAAATTGGTACACAAATGATAAGTACTTGAGTGCCATTTTAAGGTATTAAAAACTACCAAATATGTAGTAAATAGTGATACGAAGTCTGTTTATTGTTAATATTAGAAGTGAATTATAAAGAATCCAGCTAACTAATTTGCTAGTTTACAAGTTTTTAATTTGAATTGCAAAACATAAAATAATACTGTAAAGGCTATCATGTTTTGTTATAGTTTTCCCAGGCTTTCTTGGTATTATTGGTTAGTGTTATACGTTGTGTTTTTTAACAACCAAACAAATTACAAAATCATCTTGAACTAATGCATACCTAAATTCGTACAAGTTTAACAATGTGTTGACTATAATGTGAGGCTAACCTGCCCCAAGTTTCCAAGGTTATTATTTGTTAATTTTTCCAATGAATTAGTTGGAAATGCCAAAGACCTACCAGTACCATCTAGAACTAACACAGAACTAACAATCTTCACAAAATCAAACCATTGTTTACCTATTAAAGTGATTTTATGAATACAACAACTAACTTTTGGAACTAACACTATAGTGTTGAATGGAACTATTGAGGGGTATACTTTCTATATCTGTTGGCACAAACAACCGAATGAGTAATATTGATTATTCAAAAGACTAATTCAATATATTGTTTAGTTAGTTAGGTTAGGTTAACCTTACCTAACTAACCAAACGATATATCGAATAATCGATACATCGATCGATATTACTCATTTGGTTGTTTGTGTCAACAGATATGGAAGTGTACCCCTATTAATTGAGGAATACCACGGAATTGACAAATAGATCTAGAATATAAAAAATGTAAAAAATTGACTGTGGAAAGCTGGTTTACACATATTGTCATACTCATTTGAGACACAATACCGCAACTCCACTAAATTTAGACATTTTCTCAAAAATGTCTATATTATAACGGAGTTCTGCTCCTCAATTCTTTGCCAAATCATCTAAAAACTGAGTCAAAACCTGTATTTTTTGTGTTTAAGGTATCTGAATTCTACTACCGTGTCCGTGAGTTTGTTGCTGACTGGGAGTCATGGGCATAATGAGTAATCATTTTAAAGGGATGAAATTCTTGGAAGTGTAAATAGTTTAAGACAAGTAGGATAGGACATTTTGTATTTATTTAAAGTATATATTGACGCAACTAACGCATGGATGGACGGGGACCATATGACGGCAGCGTTGGCCACAATCCTGTCTGATCAGTCGATTCACACACATCAGTTACGGCACGTCACAGTACAGTCACTTCAGGCACGTCACAGTTAACAAAAATATTCTTCAATGGATTTTCTATTGCACTATCTACACCCATCCGTCGCAGTTCCGTCAGTGGCTCTGCCGGCGTCTGTCAGTCAATTTCAGATTTCTTTCCACCGATATTTTTGGATTATTCGGACGCCTGACCTTGGATTATTCGGACCTGTTTGAGGTTAGAAAATAGTGTTTTAGCGAATTTCCCTATAGGAAAGTAGCTATTACCGTAGGTGGCACGGTAAGACCTAGACCCGGGACCGATTTACTTTTTCATTTTGATGTCTCCAGAGGCCAAAAACACCATTCGTTCAAATTGTTATATATGTATATATATATATATAGACTTATATATATATATACGTCCGTGAACGCGATAACTTGAGTAATTTTGGTCCGATTTTGATGAAATTTGGTTTAAAGGTGTAAAGCGGGATAAACTTGAATGAGTTTGCGAACCAGCACGATCGGACCATGGGAACGGGGCTTTACGGGGGGTTTTATGGGGTAAAAATTGGTTTTTCTCACTTTTTACCCTCAAAACAAAAAAATTCCCGATTGATCTTTAGACCTTTTTAAAGAGCTTAAAAAAACAAATAATTTGGTATATAAAAGTATTTTTGTTCAATTATTAGTAACGGAGAAAATTTAAAAAATTGTAAATTTAAAATTCCCATGTTATTCTTATGGAGAATATTGTCAAATGTTGTAGTTTGCTTGTTTATGGATATATTTTGATCAAACTTGGCAAATTTATTTATTTTGTACTAAGCTATCAATATTTTACTCAAAAACACACTTTATTAGTTTCCTTGTAGCAGCAAACCTAGGTACTCGTTAAACCTAATGTTATTAAAATATATTTAACTGAAAATCAATTTAGACGAATGGAAATTCGCTTAGTCGGCAGGTTTGCTGCGGCGGGGGTATTTGTTGTTTAAATGATTGTGTTTATATTATGAGTACTGTTTGAAACAATTAACAAGATGGACAGTGAAAATTTGATGGATTATAGGTTTATAATTTAAAAATTTTGTCTGTAAATTACTGTAAATTTTAGAGACGGAAGACTGACTGAAACCAACTGACGGACAGTTGAATAAGAAATTGCGGATGCAACTGAGATTGAACTGTAACTGGACTATATAACGGAACTGTGACTGAACTGTTATGTGTGAAACGACCTTAACCGATGGTACATTTAATGCTATTATTGTTAAACGTTCAACATACCTTTCCTTGCATGATTAGACGGATGGTAAGAGTGACGTTGTGATCGTCTGACGGGAATGTTTTGTCTGTGTCCATGCTGGTCTTGGATTCTTTCTCAGAAACTTGGGCTGAAACAAAAAAACACTGTTGTAGATTTCACTTTACTTGTTATAGATATTCCTGAAAAATGTTGTGAAGTGTCAATAGTTGAGTATGTAATAAACAGATTTGACAAATTTGATCAAAATATATCGCTAAGCAAGCAAACTACCGTTTAATTATACTACAAAAGAATTACATGGTAATTTACGAATAACCGGTTTTTTTATCTCTGCGTAACCATTATGTGTACAACAACACTTTAATATACTAAACTATGTTTTAAGTTTTACGAAATATTTTTGAAAGAAATATATGTTTTGGAGTCTAAAATTGAAATAACCAATTTTTACCTCGTAAATAATTGTTCCCATTGCTCAGTCATGCAGGTTCGGGAAATCGTTCGAATAAATGTAGGTTTACACGTTTGTAACAAATTTATCAAAATAGGATGGCATCTACTAGGGTTATTGTACTAATGGACACACACATACATTTTACGGTATACGAATATATACATCTGATTTGAATATATGAATTTGAACGGATGATGCTTTTGGCCTCTGGGTACTTCAAACGAAGAAGCAAATCGGTCCCGGATCTAAGTCTTCCCATGAAATCTAAGGCAATAGCTTATTCCATATAAGGAGGGGTAGTATGATCCATTTATTTATTTTGAAGAAAGTATTGAAATTGCATAGCAGGATTATACGAAACAATAATAGTAAGAATTATATTCTTTAAATCTAAATCAGTCATACAATCTTTCGATTTGAAAAACAAGATTTGTCGCCGCAATGAAAAAATGTCACTTAGTAACTTAAAGCGGCTTTAATCCTCTCTGAAACGTAATTTAAATTATATTTGCGTTACTACTTAGCTGATAATCAGCAACGTTATTTAGACCAATCCTATTTTAGAATTCTCGCACTAACAACTCTTAAATTCATCATTTCGAATTTTATAATCCTATAGCTAAAATAAACATAATAAATATCGAACAAGCCAATTGTTAGTTTTTTGTTTTTTTTCCTAAATAAGTACTAATTGGCCTTCGCGATATTTACGAAGGTTTAAATTTTAGAACTGTCACGATTGCAATTAACGTGTAGTTGATGTGGATGGTTTCATGTTAATACGACACATAGTATATTGACAGCGTGTTCCACACAAAGTAGTTGTCAGATGTGGTGACATTGGAGGATACGACTTACATGCTATAACAAACACCCTTTATTAGATAACGCGAACACCTTTTTGTAGAAAACACGCAGCTAAACAAACTTATAATGGCTTCAAAATGTGACAAGGTTTGGGTAGGTGGTATTCTTTCTTTTTAAATGCATTATGTCACTACAAAGTATCTGTTTTTAACTACAAAACCAGCTTAAATGATAGTATCCCGGTTTTCTTTACTTTACTACAGATCAGCTGATATGCATTGTTGCATGGATATCCATGAGGCTTAGGGCCGCTTTCCCCAAATCAAGTTTAACTCTGATCGCGGTTTAAACTCTAGTTTAACCTCAGATTCACTTTCCCCAAAATAATTTCTCCGTTTAAACTAGGTTTAAGTTAACCCTAGGGGTTTGGCTGGTTTAACTGGCGATCCGTGGGTTAACCCAGGAGAGAAGAATAATAGCTTGATTTTGATTGGCTCTTGGCTGACTTGTTACGTTCGGCAGACGGCAATGGCAAATATCCTTGTTTGACATTTGTTAAACATAACCTAAAATAAATTGAACTGGAAATAAATTAAAAATAACAAACCAGAACCTTTTTCGGTAGGTAGTATCGTAGTTGTGTACAATCGATAGGTTACCTTGTCCACAGCAACGCAACAGTGGTTGGAAAGTTTGCTCATAAGAAGCCTTTTGGTTTGATTTGATTTTAACACGAGTCTTACATTACACAAAAGTAAATATTAAACATTCGGGCCTAACCACTAGTCTATTATTATCATGTGTAAATTAACAACTACTGCAGTACGCCTAAAATTAAATTTAGTTTAGAAACATCGAACGTGTCTAATGCTGAGTAGCCTAGGCCTGCCATTACAAAGGATAGGCTCTAGTTTTTAATCCACAAACATTGATTTTGCGTCTTTCCCAACATTTTATTTTCCCATGATTGTAAATGCTTTTATTTGATGCGTACAGTAGGCCTACTGTTTAATTAAGTTTGAGCTTAAAATAAACACAATAAATGAAATGCTTAGGCTATAAATTAGCATCAGTACAATTTATTAGCCTGCAAATAAAAATGTTTCTTTTTAATGTCAACAATTGGAGACAATGACACGAAACCTAATACAAATAACCAAAACACGAGAAAATTAATGACAGATATGTCATAGTGGGAAGTTAAACAGCTAATATTGCAGACAAAATTGCATAACAGTGTTGCCAACATTGTTGCTTGCAAAGAAAAGCTAGGTTAAACTAAACTGCCATGACAAAATAGTGGGGAAAGCCATCCTAAGTTTAACCCACAGATTAAAGTTAACCGAGATTAAGTTAAACTTGATTTGGGGAAAGCGGCCCTTAGTGTTATTGATAATTTATTGTAAATAAGACTAAAAATGTTTTTTCACAAGCTCTATAGGTCTAGGTTTTTTTCTACAGATCCGGTTCCCTAAATTATAACAATTCCATAAATAGTTGATTGTACTGAAATCACATTAGGATACCTAATTTCCAACCTATCCTGGCATACGACTTAAGATTTACTTTTAATGTGCAGTTTATATCCTTTGAGCTTGCAAAACCACATGTCGAGTTTCATTCACAATAAATTCTCAATAAGACTAAAACCCATAGATAACTATGGAGAATGCATATCAGCTGATTGACAATGAAGTATACAAACAGGGATACCAACATGTGACCTGGGTTTTCCGTCAAAAAGTGCCTTACGGAGTACGAATTTGGGTTGCGTTAAAATACCTGTATTATATGCGATTCATTTCATGGCCATACAAACAGTCAAATATACACATCACTAGCAATAGTGAGAAAATTATTATAAAAAGTCTTAACAAGTATTAATTTTTAATTTTTCAGTAAAAATTTTTTATTAACTCAAACCTAACTTAACAAATTAATTACAACAAATTCCTTAACAAAAACTTAACAAATTTATCGACACAGACATGTTCTTTGTGTACGTAACTAAACTGAGGATGAATACAGGGTGAGTGAGATGACATGTGCAGTTTTGTTACTAACGTCAGCTGTTTCTGGATCCATGATTTCAAAAGCCCCGTGATCAAGGACAGCTGAGTCCAGTTTAAAACTATAAAAACGCTACTGACATCATTCGGGATCGAACCGGCGACCTTCTTAACTTTTTAGATTTTCTTAACTGAAATGGTTTACATTTATTTATAAACAATTGACGCGTTTTTGATACTGTTGAGTTAGAATTTGCAACGCAAACAACAATTTATAAGCGGCCTGCATGTTATTAAATTAACATAATTCTCTCCATTGTATTTACTATGAATTTGTATTATATACATAAATCCACTAATTTACTGTTGATTTTTATTAAGTGTAATTTATGTAGTCATTTTAAGTAATTCTTTTTAGCAACTGTATAGACTTAGGGGTAGGTTTAAGAAATACGTGTTCAAACTTCTTAAAGTTGTATACAGTCATATTTTATTGTTTAATGTTTAACGACAACAAAATTGTTGCGTTGAAAATATGGTTTATTGTAATGAGTTGGCATTGGGATTTAAATTAGTGTCTGCACTTTTTTAAAATACAGTTAAATATGTTGAGAAGCCTATGATGTGAGTAATTTTGTTTATTAATAATACAACATATTAGTTATGTCTATTTTTTTATCTCACGCATGTCACATTCTAGGACGCTAGGTTCTAGCCCAGAACCTTTTACACATTACTTCAGGCTTGTCATAGAGGGTTGCGGCGTTATCAGATAAAATCCATTGGTGATTGGCGGGATATGAACTAGGGACCCTGGGCACCGAAGCCACACGCTCTGCCACTAGACCAGTTCCCATTGATTATGTATATTGCATTTCAGTGTTAAAAAAAGGACTTTACAATTATTTATAATATGTCATGGTAGTTTTGATCTAGCATAAATGTTCTGACAATAATTATACTGTGCTATAAAACAGAATGTATTGAGGAACACTTGCTAATAAACGACATTTTACCGTTTTGTTCAATGAATAATTTTATATGAAAAAAGGGATAGTTTTATGCGTTTATACGTAAAGGTTTCTAATACATCAGTGCAATTTGCCAGATCTATCGTAAATGTTATCAATGATTATATACGTTAATTTAATATTTAATTTATCACTTAAATATAAAATAATTTAATCAGTTGAAAAATTTTAAGATTTGCAGAAAACCATTTGTATTTGTACAACAATATAATTAAAAGTAACCTTGAAACATCTTGTAATGTATAAAACAAAGAGTTACATATAATTTTTAATTCAAACAATATTTCTCATAAAGTAGCTACAATGCTGCGTAAAAAAAGACTTAGTTATTGCATTTCTGCTTCTCTGAAAACTTAAAGCAGACAAAAGAAAACTTGAAACTTGTTCTTTATTAGAATAGGTGCTTGAGCAGGTACTAAATATTTTAAACAATCTGAAAGACTTTGTTTCACAAAGCTCCTCTTTCTGTTTCACCCACGACTAAAAATATTTCCCTTCAAAATAGGCTAAAAACTGTTGTTGATTTTCCTCAGCTATTTTAACACTGTTACATATTACTAAAACTTCCGCTAATGAGCTTTTTATTTTTTATCATTGAAAAATACAATGATTTTTATTTTAGTTTAGTTAGGTTAGTTTTTATTTTGTACAGGAAAAAGTACAATTCGCTACTACTAATTAATTGTGAACTAAACACCAGTTTTCATTTAAGGTTTATTATCAAATAGCTTATGTCAAATAAACTATTAAACTGTTTTTGATAAGTAAAAATTAATTTAAAATGGTTTTAATATAGCTTCATTGTTGGACATTTGACAATAATAAG